AAAAAAAAAAAAAAAAGCTCCATAATTCATTAAACTCTTCTTTTACTGACTGGCTATTCAGCTCTGTGTTTTTAATAGACCAGAACAAAAATTTCTTCTTGCATTGGTGTTCAAATTAATATAGACACTGCCCATTAAACATGCCCAAAAAAATCTCTTTCAAATCAGTGGCATAAGGTTAAAATAAGTAATGCAGAGAGCATCAAGGTGAAATCATTAAAAAAAATGCAAGACATCTTTAAAACTTAAAAAGCAGCATTTTAGCACTGAAAAATAAATAATACATCTGAATATTCTCACCTAAATTTATACTATATATAGTTGGGTTATTTTAAAGAAGCATAACCCTTCCAWAACTAACTTTTTTCATGCAACATTGTTTATTCCAAGGAGTCATGCAATATAAACAATATTTTATTTCAGCTGKCTGTTTGCAACATAGCTTGGTACAGCAGCTTGATTTCTAAGTTAAGAGAAAGGAAAGGTGAGAGAAGAAAATAATCTGGAACCAAAACATGCATTCTGTGCATAATCTAACCATCCAAGCCAATTAAACTGCTCCTGCTTAACACAGGATGAATGAACAGTGATTTGGGTGGCTCTTTTTATTTTAAATAGTGCATTGAAATCTCTGGAGCATGAGAGGTGCCACAGACACAAAACACCCATTCTAGCCAAGCATTAGGATCAAGAACTGAAGGCAAATCAGGATATTCCCATCTTCAAGTTATGCTGAATATTTGTTGCACAGCCACACCAAATCATCTCCTGATATAGTCAAACCAACTTCCTGCAACATTTCTCTTTTTACTCCAGCAAAACCAGCAGGACAGCCAGATGAACTTGGTCATTTCAAGTATATTCATCTGTTTAAACATCTGTTTAAACCACCCACTTCAGTCAATTTTAAAACAGGAGCACAAGAAAATCATAAAATCTAAACCACCTCTGAGAACTTCACACTGATTTCAAGCATACAGGAAAACGATCTACAAAACTGTGCAGGCTAAATTAAGATACATTCTTTAGTTTGCAAACATGCTTTTAAAAACATGAAATACACTGGATGTGAAATGCAATCTCGGTACTTGCACATACAGACACGTTAAAAAACAAACAAACCAACCAMACCAGAAAACTTTTGGTCAACAAAAGTTTGTTTGCCTGACAATCATGATAGAAAGCAAGTGATATCCCAAAATGAATACCAAATGCTATACAATTTGTTAATTACATGCTTTTAAAAACCAAGCCTTTAATAACTAAAATTTGAAAAATATTAATCATATTATGCCTTCTAAAGTGGCTGGGGTGGGAAGCACCACTTAAAAAAACAAACATATTTCCTTTGGATTCAGAGAAAGGAAAYAATTCTTATTTAAAAACAACTATATAGCAGTTCTATAAAGTGCCTCTTTGAGGAAATACATCAACAGATGTTTTCCTTGTGCAAAATAGACATTTTTCAGCTGRCATCTTTGAAACACATATGCTACCCAGAGTCTGTATTCATGCATTTTATCTTCAATATCAGTGATTMAAAAAAAACTTCTAATCTATACCAAAATTATTTTTCCTTATTCAAAACCACTCCTACTTTAGCTTTCAGGGCATGAGCTAAAAAAATGTCATCAGAAAACTCTGGGTTCCACTTTCTCTTTTTTTCATGTTTCCTTCAAGTCCTTTGCCCATTGTGCGTGTTTACTTCTGMCTGTAAAAGTCCATTACTGAAGGCTACAGGAAATACATTCTCTGCTAGGGAACAGCAAAGCCACATTGCATACCACTGTAGTAAGACACTTTAAAAATTGTTCAAAGCAGCATTTAGGATCAAACTAAAGCCTGRTAGAGAGATCTGTCTCTGCTTCGAAATGCAAAATGCAAGACCTCTTGAAATGACTTTATTATTGGAGAGTGGATACTTGAAGTGTTCTGAAACTCCAAAAATAAAAACTAAGTACCTAAAAGTTAACAGAAGGAAGCTGAAGCAGTCCAAGCTCCTGCAAGTTTCAGTTTTAGGCTCAGGTCCACCTGCAGCCAAGCACAGACATGGCAAGAACAGAACCTGCACAGACAGAAGGAAGAGCTCCAGAGGCTGAGCCCAGAGCAGCAGAGCAAGGACACTGCAACACCAACCCTTGGCTCTGAATTACTGACACTGGATTTAAGCTCTTCCATGCCCAAGATCCATTACAGACTCCAGCTAGAGTGCTGAAAAGGGCCAGAAGAGTTCAGTTTCCAATGGAAGTTTCCAATGACCAAAAACAACCACCCCAGAACACCAGCAGTCCTCCCCTGACGTGCCCTCCCTCCTGGCCCACTGCTGTTTTACCAGTCCATCATCTCTTCTGCATGCCACAGATCTGAGCAGGAGAGTTAAAAAACAGGTACAAAGGTTATGAGAATAAGTATGAAACACATATAAACCAAGGTAACAGGTTTCAGTGACTTAAATAAAACACAGGTACATTCCAAAAAAAACCAACAGATGTTCCGCCGTTCTAGAGAGGAGCCATTGAGTGTTTATTTGATCTGAACTGTCTCTTGTAGGAAAGGTATCCTGAATGTACCAGTGCACAGCTGGTCTGACCAGCCAGGAAGTTCATGCTGCAAAGGAGTCCTTCTTGGGTAAAATGTGTAATCRGGCTCGTAGTTGAGGAGGCAGCTGAGTGATGCCATATAAATATCGGCGAACCGGGAGAGGCGCCGCAGGAAATACGTGGGGTTCTCATCCGTTCTGAAAATGCTTCCAAACTGGGCGTTGAAGAAATTCCTGTTCATCTCCCTGTCCCCCAAAAAGAGAAYACCAAGAAAACCAAGTGAACAGATYTGCACACATCTCTTCASCAGCTSGCATCTGTAACCCRCAGCAAGCAGATCCTAAAACCTTCTCTATGCCTTATTGTCTTTTTGCTACACTTCAAAACACTAAAATGTGCCATTTAGGTTTTTTTTTTACCTCTTGCACATCTACAGCCCAGATCTAGAAATCAGTTATGAAGAAAAGCTTCACATTCTCCCACTAAACCCAGAGATAAGTTGCTTCTGGTACCAGAAAAATGAAATCTCAAGCCTCCTTTTCTAGAGATTCTGAAAAAAAGAATTTTGCCTTTATCTAAATCCTAATGATATCCAGTGTTCCAAAGATAAAAAACTCCTTGAGAAAAGGCAAAGATTTGGCTTAATGCACACAAAAAAAGGCTTAAAGACATCTTGGAATTAACTTCTGTCATTGACACTTGGCAGTGACTATTTTCATTTCGTTTATTGCCAGTTTATTCACACAGCCTGCATTTAGGGATTACTCCTTCATAATAATAGATTATTAAGATTTTCAGCCTTATTACCTGTCTTTGTGATAAATCCAATCTAGTGCAGAGCCCAGTTTCTATGTATTTGAAGATGTATTACCTATAATCTGAAGAAATCCTCTAAAAAACTTGCAGAAGTGACCTAAGTTTTGACACAGAGATACATTTTTAATTCCTGCAGAAGCYGTGCAATCAACTGTGGCAGATGAACATAAAGGGACAGAAAAATCCCAAAAAGAAGGGATTTGATATGATGTTACCTTTTCACACAGAAAAGTTACTGGGAACAKGAAAAAGGGTTCATATGTACAAACTGTCAGAGAGGAGAAGAGCTGTAGGACAGGTAGAATTTTGCTTTACAAAAACATGTTACAAGATCTGTAGCTACCAGGGAATATMAACCAGGGATGGAGACAAAATCCAAAGAAACCTGTGGAAGGCATTACAGAGAACCCTTGGCTGCCAAAACCTACTGCAAWTTCTTCATCTCCCATGCCTTACCTCATTTCCTTTCTTTCCTTCTTCCACTCTTCTAAAATCATTTGAGAATCAGGATCACGGTGAACCTGAAATGTAAAGTATGGATAACCTGTAATTAAGGGTAACTTTGCAAATAAGCCTTTTTCTATCAATAAACCCTTATCAGCTAACAGGACACAAGCAATGCTTCAGAGAGCCAACTTCAGTTCAGAAGTTACCCATGTGTATTTAGAACAACCAAAAGCAGGAATTGATYCAGGCTGACCAGTGGAGAAAGGGGATAATATTTTGAGAAAACTCCTATTAAYTAACCACACAAATAATTGCATTTGTCTACAGTCAAACACTTCAGCGAGCCCGAAAGCCCTTGCAACATCATTGTCCAGCATTTAGAAACTTGGCTGGATCCCTTTGGCTCTGGAGAGCTGATTACACACACACAGAACAAACCTGCATGTGCTCCAATAATCCTGTCAARGTTTGCAGCCAGGTCATGGTTTGAATGTATTTCTCTGTGTTCATGATTTTAATCTCCGATCGTAGCTCGGGAATAATCGCACCAGTGCGCCAGCCATGCTTCAGGGTCAAGTCCTRTTTACCAAGCATTACAAAATACAGTATTAGTCTTAATAAGAACTACTTGAAAGGAAAGAATTTTACTATTGTTTAACCCAAAGCAGCATTAATGTATTTGGTTTTTATGTGTGAAGTACAAAACAGTGAGACTCAACTGTGCCAATGGGCAATAGAATTTCATTTCAGATTAAGCTACAAATCCTGCATTTTTGAAGAGAGAGGGATGAAGAACGCACAAGCACTTGCAAACAAACRCTAATTCATTAGGTTTGAAACAAACAGCAGGAAGTTGCTCTGTAGATAGGAGCTCTGCTTCTGGAAGARCTGTGTGTGCTGGGTTTGTGCTGTTTACCCCCACTCCCAGCTGACAGRAGGCTCCAGTCAGGAGCCCCAGCTATTCCAGCTGTCCTCCTGGATGAGAAGMAAACACAAATCTTCTGTGGCTACTCTATATTTTGCAAACTATATCAACAATGATTTAAGTTAGCTTAGAAATTCCAGTCTAGAAACTGCCTGCGTAACTGAAGAGACTGAGACACATTTGAAAAAAAAAAAAAAAAAACCCTGAAGATTTTTTTGGATGCTGGTGAGATGAGTGGGAATACAATTTAGAGCAAGTTCTTGGGAAGAACATTTACAATTAATGACAGGAAGATTGTCTCCTGCATTAAAAACAGCCATCATCCARGTCAGGCATATCCCATACATTTGGGTATCTGTGGTTACTCTCTGTGACATCTGACACAAGCAGTATCTGGATCAGGAATACAAACTCACACATTCCTGACCACAGCTGGTAAACAACTTCAATGCTACAAGTCAGGTGGAAAATATGGTTGGCATTTTACAGCACCAGTGTTTTGCACTGCCAACAACAAAAAAAAAAAAAAAAACAAAAAAAAAAACCCCACCACAACAATATGGCTTAACTACCAAATTTTGTTGTATTTTTAGATCTCAAATGAAAGCATGCTACATGCTCCAGGGAGGGAGAGGAAAACCAACAAAAAGCCTCATCTTTTCTCTTATTTTGGGAACACAAAGTACTTACTGCCAAGTCACTGTATATGTGGTCACCAAAGTAGAGAACCTTAGAGCCCCTCCAGCCCGTAAGCTTCAGAAATTCATACAAGTTACCCTGCAGAAATAATGACATGGACATTGCAGCAGCRTGATTTGCACCTTCACAGGCATGAAAAACGAACTCAGAACACCACGAAAAATAGCACTAAAAATATTGTCATATCACAAGACGGGTCCTCAATTTATTTACCACAAATCCCAAATTTTGTGGGTGATTTCAGTGCACTTCAAGAAGCAAAGGCATACAGGGCCAACAAAGAATTTGTACAACTTCAGACATTAAATAACTCTCTTAAATAATCCATCTGCACTTTAGAATTCTTTAAATCCTAAGAAGCTTGGGATTCTAGGAAACAGGTATTAAATTTGTACAGAAAGAGTTTTTGAAAGCATACCTGTTTGTAAATCTGACCTTTCTGCAGCTTGTGAATCTTGTCCCAGAGCAAGACTCCCCTTTCATTCACTTTCCGGAATGGTCTAGAATGGAGACACAATTGTTATGCTGCTGTAGAAATTTTGTCACTTCTTAGAAAATTAAAAACTTCACATTAAAAATAGTCATCTCTCAAAAGGAAAAAAAAATCTCTCCCTAGCATTTGAATTTTGTAACAGAAAAAGCAAAACTCCAAAACTTCCAATCCAACCAGTGAAAAGCAAGGTCTCTCTCCAGTATAGCTATGACATTTAAAAATCCAGTTTGAGCACAACTGCTGAGAAGTGAGGCAGGGACCCCAAGCAGAATGAATCGTCTGCCACTAAGGAGAAGAGAAYATAAATGAAAAAAAATATAAGAATCTTGCCCAACACCTCATTTTGTACACCTGGACAAGTGAAAATGAGAGAGCACAGGACTGGGGCCAAGACATAGAGGGAGGTGGGATTATTTCCCCTTTATTTTTTGCATTTAATTTTAAGAAGAACTTTGCTCTATCTCATCCAAATCATAAGCACACATAAAGGAACAGGTCTTTTTCAAGTGTAAAAGTGGGGCACACACATTAGAACTGTGTTTACTTAATCACAGCTAGTCTAAATATTCCAGTCTGTCAGCCAGACAGGTACCTTTTAAATGTCATGTGTGGTAAAAAAAAAAAAAAAAAAAAAAAACCAGGAGCAATGAAAGACATTTACAGATAAGGGTCTGATTTGAAATGCATCAAAATTTCTCAGGTTTATTAGGAAAGAAGGACACTTCACCAACGTCCAAATAAGATCTTAAAAACAGCTTCTGTGACCCTAAGTCACTCAGTAGACCTGTGACAGCTCCTGGAACTTTCTTAGGTCAGAAATGGTAAATATTTAGACTTCAGCACTGGATGTTGCTGCACTTTGTAATGACTTTCCACAGGATTTTATCAAATATGATTTCATTTTACATTGCAGCCAAATGAAAGCATTTCATAACACACTCTGTAGCCTTATATGGAAGAGCTGCTCCAGTTGCTCTTTGCTGACTCAACACCCACCTTCGCTTATCGTTGAAAAAGTTTGGTTTTTCAGCCTGCACAATGACCACATCAAAGAGATCCCTCCAGTCCTTGCCAACGATGAACTTCATGCCTTTGTCCCTGAAAAGGATAGAGGGATATTAAAACCAAAGTGTAGCAACAGCTRTCTGTGCAATGAGTTACACAGGAGAACTCATCTTCCCCATCCTTTAGGAATTTAGAGCAAAGTGCTCACTTACACAAAGCTGCTGGGACTGTTTGTGATGAGAAACATCTTCTTGCCATGATCAGCCAGCTTTGCTAGCACTGCACGAGTTTGTTCAGCATAGCAGATGTATTTCTCTGCAAGGATTGGGTAAAAAACACGGCATTAATTGAGAAAGTTTTTCACAAGAATTTTCTCTGCTAACAACCAAGGGTTCAGAACACAAGTTTATACTTAAAGACACCTTTGRCAAGTGGGAATAACTCTTTCAAGTTTTAAAAATTTAGCATTTGTAATCTTAAATATGGAAGCCAGAAAAATCAGTACATTATCAGTAAATAAAGCTTTGATAGATTATATCATTAATACTTACCAATATCTGCTTCAATTGCTCTGTACATTATTCCTTTGATATGGACATCCCTGATTGAATCCTGCAAGGAAAGCAATGAGCAGCAAAGAACTTAACCTTTTTAAGTGAAACATTCGTGTTCACAGCATAGCAATAGAAATTTGTTTTTAAAACGACTCCTTTCTCAACACTTCCACATTTTACAGAAATGTCACGTGATGTTCAATATAATTATATAAGTCTCCACTAGATAAAGAATAAGTTTCCTCCAAGAAATTAATTAAATTAATTAAACTTTGGGAAGTACAAAACTGTAGAGCAGAGGGGCTGTTTGACATTAATGTGAGAGGTTGCTCAGAAGGGTGAAGTGGGGTGAAAGCCCTCTGCAGGAGCAGAGTCATCACAGATTTCCACTGACCTTTGGAGCAGAACACATTCCTTTCCCCTTGCAAAAAAAAAAAAAAAGAGCTGTACATCTGACAGATTTGAGATTACAATCACTCACAATGCCCTGATTATTTATGTAAGAAATTTATGAACAGATGAAAGAAGCTGAATGTTCAAACAAGGTATTTATAAGGCAMTCTGGAGGCATTTAACAGCTCTCCTGAGCCAGCTCTGCACCAGACAGCTTTGTTTAGAGCAGTGGTTCTGCCATTTTGGTATTTACATGGACTTAGTCCTCAAAATTGTCAAAAATACCATTACAGGGTTTCCAAAATGCTTGTAATGCTGAATGGTACAGAAATTTCTATACACATTTCAGCAGAAACCACAAGGACTGGCCTTCTGTATGTTACATAAACRTGACATAAAATGATCTTCTCTGCAGGATACACCCTGAGGAATCAGGAGGGTCAAATTACTCTAGACTGGTGCTGGAGTTTTTCTGGAGGAGGAAGAGAGCTAAACAGGCAAAATAGAGAGCTCAAAAGCACGAGATGTGAAATGATTGTACACTAGCCAAGATGCAGAGGCAGTAAAACTGAAAGCTCCAAACTGGAATGCCCTATAGATCCCTAAATTCCCTACAGCCTGTTATATTYCTGAGAAACATATTACTCCTGAAGGTTATATTCTTGTTAGAAAAAAGATGCATTCAACAACAATCAAAAGAATTTTTATCACCTTACAAGATCTTCCCTTCCCCCCCCATTCACCCTCAAACCTACAAAAAGAGCAAAGCCACAGAAAGTTAGCTTGCAAACGAATTTCAGTTGATTCTTTTCCAAGTTCTACCTTAATTTTATTGGTTTTTATGTTTTTATGGTTGCATACCCACAAACAAAACCTAAGGTGGGGTATTTCACCGAGGCTGACACAAGAGGTGGAAGCTTCCTGAAGTGTTCACAGAGAAGAAACAYAAATATACAAGTTAATCTAGATCTTCACAGCTTGACATCTACCTTGACATCTTTGTACAGATGAACAGGTTCGTAGTCTATGTTGTTTTTCAGAAAGTATTCATTCACACAAGAAAGGAGTGTCATTTCTGGCAAGGAAAATATATCCATGAATTGCTTCATTGTATTTCCTTGTGAGCTCTACAGTGGTGGGAAGAAAAGGCAAGAAAAACAAGTCAGGCATTTCTCAGATTAGAACACTTYCATTTGTTCAGTGTCAGCTTAGCTGCAGATATTCAGCTGTTGCCATCCCTATTCACTTTTCTTCAGATTCTTTTTCCACTGAGACCTTCAATAAAGTATCTCCAACACAAGTGTTGTGATTAATTCTTCAAATAAATCCAACTTGTTACTCCTAACAAARAGATTTTAAAAAACAAGGCAGCGCTCAGCTAAAAGTCAAGAAAAGGCCTTCACTAGAAGTCTGCACTTCTGCAAATAAGAGGATGCCAGTGATATTCACAACTGCTGCAGCCACCACATTCAGGAATTCTGAATTCAGCTCCTTAATGTAAGAACAAGTGCAGGAATGATAAAATGCTCCACATCACAAAGAAGGGCTTTTCATGTCAACACAGAATTAACATCTGGACATAAARAGGGTAAAATAAAGTCAGCTTTTTAGCAAAAAGTCAGCTTCATTCTTCATTTGGGAAAGAGAAAGAAACTGACCAGAGGGAAAAATCAACTTTCTTAACAAATTTTAGGATTTAACTTAGAAGTTTCATCTATTACCATTCATTTTTTGTCAAATCCTCTTACTGTCACTCTGCCAGTTTGCATGGAGGTGCTGCCTCCGTACATTTTCTTGCTGCAGCTAAGCCATCAGACCACCAGGAAAAAGTAAAGTGCCTGAACCAGATATGGTTCAYTTCCCAGCCTTTATCAGATTCTCTGGGGAGCACTGAGAAAGTCACTTGGTTTCCTTTGTTCCACTACTCTGTCTGTATGACAGAAGAAACTACAGCGAGCAGGAAAAAGAAGCCATTTGTCACTTTATAGGGCAAACTTCACACATCTAGCACTAAAGTCAATCAGATATTGAGAAAATATCACTGCTACTTATAATGAGAAGAAACACCACTACCCTCATGCCAACAAAAAAAAATAAAAAGAGAAAGAAACAACCAATTTTAAAGATCAATTTGTGGTTTTACCTTTCCATAAAAGTCACTCATTTGCTCTAAAGGGACGTGGGAGCCATCATACATTGCAATGACTTCTTCATCTGGAACAACACTGAGGCCTCTGGAAAACAACAATAGCTTTAGTGCAAAAGTCAGATTCAAATTTTCAAGTAATCACCAAAGTCTGACAGATTAACACTTAKATCTGGATCTTATTAAAATACTAATATRACACAAKAACACTTTTGTTTGTAAGTTAGAAYAGCATCTTTCCTTACCAAACAAGTAACATTTTAACAGGCTCAGGCACACAGAACACATTCCAATTTGAAGTCCTTTCTACTTTCTTATGGGAAAAAGGCTCATTAGTCTCCATTGAAACTATGCCTCAAGGGATTTTTTAAGAAGTAGGTAGAACTTCCATATTCTTAACACAAATTAATTCCTCACTCTGCTTTTTTTTTTCCATATAGCATTGATGATATGATAGTTTTTAAACCAGATAATTTTGCAGCATAACCTTGAAGATTCAGGAGAAAGAAAAGCATACACAACCTCTAACTAAATCAGAATTTATCTTAAACTGTATGAGCAGTAAAATTATGCTAAGGATGGCTGATAAGTAGTTAAAACATTAACAACAAATGGGAAAGAAGGACATGTTACTCCCCCTGGAGTTTATCAGCTRTTAAAAGAGTAAAGGCTTTAGTTTTGTTTAGAATGTCTACAGTATCAAGCATCTTGCTCTAAAGTATCTAAAAGACTGCAGGCATACAAACAGCCTCACCAGAGGCCACAGAAATGTTTAAAAAACACAAATGAATGYCAGACTAGCTGGCTTCTTATTCCCAAACCTACTTGTGGTGTTTTGCAGCCTTGTAAAACAGACCCTCCCTTTCTCAGCCTGACCAAGAGGAGTTGCCAGGCATTAAAATATAAATAAATTCATTCATAAGTTTGGAGTCCACCTTTGCAGTGGAGAGGCACAATACATGAACCTCCTCAGGGTTTCTGTGCTGGCASAGTCCCAGTTTAACCAGTTCCTTTGCTGCACTTGTCGATGCCACAGCAGCTGGGACAGCTCTGAGCTGCTGCTGGCAGCACTCCCTAAATTCAAGTCAGCCTTGTGCACAAACAGGGCAGAAAATGCTTGGGTTTTGTAACATGCARAGCTCAGCATCACCCACTGCACAGCAGCAAACACAAAGAAATGCCACCCAAATGTTCAACAGATCAAGAAAACCATCAGAATTGAGCAGGTACCTTCTGGCCTGCAGAGAGCTGTGCCAAGTGCTGCTGGAACACTGCTAGACAAAACACTCGTGCATCAGGAGCTACTTGAGCACAAATCAACAAATCAGAGGAAAATAGATATAAGAAAACCACACTGGACAGATGACTGCCCAGGCAAAGCTGTAGACTACTTTTATCACAGGACTCCCAGTCCTGACACAGCTCACAGTGAGCTGTAAAACCACACATCCTCTTGACATCAGCCTTCACAGCCTTCAGCCTCTTTTTCCCTTCCCTCATCCCTGTACAATTGTTTGGGGTAACAGCATGAAGGTGTGGTGAAAAACATCGTGTCCAGGTCATATTTTTGGCCCAAATTTGGCTGTTTTGTCCTCATGGTGGATGGAGGAAGACAGCTAAAAGTGCAACAGGATAAACCTGAGTAAAAGTCTTTTTGTCCAACGACTTTCAGAAAGGTGATCGGGCTTCTTGCTTAATTTAAAATCTGATACCGAGTATRGTGCAAGCTTGATTTGGTTGAAATRTATCCAATTCATGGATATATTTTCCTTGCCAGAAATGACACTCCTTTCTTGTGTGAATTCAAAAAGCTCTGTGTAAACACAGCAGCACCTCTCACGTGTCTCCACAGCCACACCAAAATCATGCTAACAGGCACTCAGTGACAATTATTGACATAGAAAGCAACAGCAGAGAAGCCATCAGTGTATTTTTAGATGTCTTTCAGCACAATTTAACAGCCAGAAAGCRAGTGAGTCAGCACTCCATGAGCTTGCCAATTGTGCCAGGGCTGAGCTGGGCAATCAGCAGATTTGTGTACACACACAGCTCCTCCCTGCCAGCCTGCACTGCTCCTTGCATTGTTGTTATAAAGAGAAAGTAACTTTACCCACCTGTAAACTGTTCCCAGCTGAATATAATGAAAAGCATCGATCTTCATTAATAATGCCTTGCAGGTTAAAAAAAAAAAAAAATAATGAAAAGCATCGATCTTCATTAATAATGCCTTGCAGGTTAAAAAAAAAAAAAAGAAGAAAATAACAGTTTTTATCACATCAACTATTAGACGTGAAATGACAAAAATCAAAGCCATTTTATCAACAACCTTTCTGCCTCAAGAACACCCAAGCACTCTCCCTTACACTTCCTTCATAGCTTTCAAAATACTTTTATCAATGACTTCTACCTAGCTTTATTCTATTGCACCCTAAGTTGCCTTTCTCCACCCACCATGAAGACAAAATACCCAAAACATTTTCTACTTCAAAGCTATTTTTAAAAAAAATACTTCATAATACTAACAAAGCTTGCTGTTGAAGACAAAAATATGAAATAAAATCCTTACATATCAAGGCAGAGTGAAAAGTTAGAAGGCTTAAAAGCTTTCTATTTTCTTTGGCTAGATTCTCAGCACTACATAACTCATACAAAGTTATTTATACATACCCGGTGCACATCATAATGAAGTCCTCTGATGGCAAAATTGGGATCATAATCATATTTTCTTATTTCTGCAGGATACTAAGAAAAAAGAGCAATGATTTTATTSTAAAACCATAATCCAAATGAATAAAAATTGTGGCTGCAGAGTTTTAGAAGTCTACATTTTCTATGCTTCTCCTTTGCTCTAATCATTTCAGAGAATTTTTGATAGACTGGTGAGATTGGCAGGAACACATGCACACAGTGCAAGACAAGTCAAACATTTTTCCTAATTCCAAGGTCATTGTTTTGCATCTAAGGCTATGCTGGTAGCTCAAATTGGACATCCAGGTACGCTTTGAATATTAGTCTCCTGTTCAAAAAAGTTAATATATTCTTACTACTTTCTTAATACATTTTAAAAATTCATTTAGAGATGCACATGAGCTGAATGTCTGTCATGTACTCTCTCCTCAGATTCTTTACACATCATGTAGGTAGTTCACACCATTATACACTGTGTAACATTTTTTCAGTACAAACCCATTTTCAGTCAACTGTAATTTTGTCATGCTTTAAGCACAGGTTGCCATGAAAAGAAACATTAGGTGCATGTCTCAAGCTRTGGGTTTTGTTCACTTGCTTCTGACTTTATCCAATTTCCTCATACCTGACTTGCTACTTTAATTTCCTAGAAAGTTGTATTTTCACATCCATGTTGGTACATATGAAAAAAAGACCGAACCTACCCTGACACACAAATCAAAGATTCCTTGCAAACCAGACAAAAAAATTAAATAAAAAAGACAAAAATGGGAAAACGGTATTGTTTGCTTACCCCACTTTTGAGTAGGGACAAATATAACAGGACTGAAACAGCTCCTGATAAAAAGGCACAAGGCCTGTGCACCAGAAAAAAATAAACCCAGGAGCAAGGGCTTACATAGAACACCTGCTGCCACCTCTGGGATTAGCATTAAAGTGATGTTTATTCTCTTGGACACACTTTGAAATTCCTTCCTTCCTACCCTGCATTTTGCAATTTTTGATGTATTACCTCACACTGCCAAGAGGAAAATTGGGCACCTTTTAGGCTGACTGTGACAGTCACATCATCTAGAGGGGCCTTTTTTCCTAATGGTAAAGGCAAAAAAAATAAGCAGCTACAGAGACAGCACCAGTAAGAGCTGTTGTCCCTCAGTAAATTCCAAAAGGAGACAATGCATTCCAATATGCTGTCTGGAAAAGTAATTACAGCTTTGTTTAGTTGAACTCAGGAGATTTGAACCGAGATAAACTGGAAAACTATCACTACCCAAATTCATTCAAATAGTAAAGGCAGACCACCATTTGAATTTTTGTCTGCAAGAGCTCACCTTGATTCCTACAGCAATATGGGTTTTTTCCAAGAACCAAGGAGCTTTAATAAAATGTATTTACACATCCTACAGAAACTGCTACCAAGACATGCCCAAATTGCAGGGGGATAAAGCTGTGTATGTTTGTAGCACCCATGAAGTTTTGTTTGCTCTTCCAAGGGTATTCATAGGTGTTTATTTATAGCTCCTAACCTTTAGATTCAAATAGGAAAGTAGAATAACACCACGCATTTGGATTCAGGTTGTGTAAAAATACACAAGCAGCTTTATTAAGATACTCCACGGAATTTTTTGTCTTTTATTTTCCTACAAGTCCTACAGTTTAATTAATTTTGCTTCTTTTAGCCCACTTTTTTTATTTTTTTTTTCAGTCTTTCTCCCAGCAAGGCCTTCAGGCTCCCAAATCACCCATGTTCCTCCCTCACTTCCTGACAGCACAYGGGAACTTTTCCCATCCCCAAACTAGACAACAAGCAGCTCCAAACTGCCTGGATGTCAAGTGGTCACAGATGCAAGGTTGGAGAGGCAGCAGGGCAGTGCCCTGAGCTGAAAAATTCCCTCTATCCAGGCTYTGCTTACTGCACATGCTGCTAAAATGCCAGGTACACACAGAGCAGCTCACAAGCACTCAAAGACCTGCTAAGAAATCCAGCTGAAAGTATTTCGTGTAGAAATCACTCATTGCACTCACAAAAAGGGATAAAACAGAGCCATGGTAATTTCTAAGCTTCTTATTTTTTAAAGTGACTCCAATAAAAGATGATCAGGARCAAACAACAAGCCACATGCCCACATTAAAGCATAAGGCAAATATAACTGTGCTCCTAAACAGAGTGTTCTCTGCTCAAAACTGCAGCTGAGAATAAACCAGRACTTCTGTTGTTCAGATGTAGCTGCTGTACAAAATGTGCTATCAGGGAGCCAAGATAGGACTAAGGCATGAAAAGATAATTTATRCCTCTGAGTCAAAAACTACTTATCATACCCATTATTCATAAATTTATTGTTATTCCATGGATTTTACTTACCCGATGCTCATTAATAAGAAGATCTCGAGCAGCATTGAAGATGAGCGTGTGCAGATGTTTTGAATAAAAGACTAAGGTGTAGTCATAATCAAAGCCATAAATTTCAATGTCTGACAGGCTCATTTCATTGTTTGAAAAAATAGCATCTGGATTCAGCATGTTACTCATAATTGAAGGAACCAGCTCTGTGAACGGGGAGAGAAAAAAAATATATACGAGCCTTGTTGTTTTATTTAAATAAAGACATAGAAATCCATCAGTAATTGCTAAATATGGATAAATTATCACTGAAACTATCAAACTAATTCACATTAACCAGCCAGTCCTTAACAATATGATGCTATTGAACACGCTGTCCCCCTAACTTGTCTTGGTGACCCCCAGTTTTTATTCAAAGCACACTTTTCTCTGCACCCCAAGTTGGAATAGAAGATGCATTTTGGCATCTTGCTTATCAGAGAACACCAGACATCATTTTTTGTTAACTTCATTAACATATTTATTAATTCTTTTGAAAATGAATTTGGAGTTACAGATTATTATTATTATTATTATTTTAATATTATTACTACTACTGCTCTAGGAGCCTTGTCTTCTCCTCCCATTACTGACCTCAGCTCCTGCCCCTGAAGCAGAACTGACATTGCTGTAATTTGACATTGTTTTAATTTTTGCTTCACCCGTTTCAAGGTTACCACATTATTCACTTACAACACCAACAAGCAAACTTTATGTGACTGTGTACATATTACACACACATTGCTATGCTTATTAACCTCCTAGAAAATCAGAAAACCAAAAATATTCTGCTTATTTTCCACACACACATACCCAGCAYGTGTAAACCACTTCCATTGTTGAGGGCATGTTTCTCTTGATATTTAATGGGAAGACCGTAATACATTAAGTAATTTTAGGAACAACACCAATGTCAATACTAAACATTAGGAGTGTTTTTATTACTTGTTTAGAAAACTTGGAAGAGCAACATTAGGAGGTTAAATGCTTCTCTCCTGGCAGTATAAAGCATGAGCATGTTTTCCTTCCTTCCCTTCTCATATATTATCTTTATACTCCAGACTTCCATACTAGTGGGAAAAAAAAAAAAAAAAAAGGGGGAAATAGTCATCTTTAAACTGTGCTTGGAAAGGTGAGTTTAAAGGGAATATGCTTTGTTTGGATACTTCTGTATAGATSTAAAAGAATTGATCAAGCTTCTCTGAGCACTTGAGCTCTGAGGACAGACCCCTACATGCTCCACTATCCAAACCATCTCAACAACGCCAGGAGGTATTGGGACTCCAGATGCAGATACCCAAGCCTTTCCATTTTTAAGAGAGGAAGAAAAGCAAATTTAATTTGCTGAGTTAATTCCAAACATCAGATAAAGCCYGGCAATGAAATCAAATGCAATTTGATATGCTATGATTAAGGCAAATACTCCTASTGTATGGAAAGGGCCATGGAGCATTCACTTAATTAGAAGTCATAAGCACAGTTTTTACTGAACGTCCAAAATCACGTTACAGCACCCATTTCTGTATTATGAAGTGTTTTTTTCAAATGTCAATTGTGCAGCTTGGTGAGTCAACACTTGTTTTAAAAATAAAGATATTTGTGTAGCTATATATAGATAAAAAGATACTTCAGCTGAAAAATAGCCTGACTAGTGGCTGTCTGAAAACAGACAGCATAAACAGTTGGCAGCTATTAGATATTCTGGCCAGCAGACAGCATCACAAGTGCTATAAACCTTGAGTCAAAAATCAGCAGAGTTTTGTCATCTCAACATCATAACTAACTGAAATAGCATACTTGTAATATAATAGTCTGAAATAYTCTAGAAGCAGTTGCTTCATCTTTCGCCAGCTCACTCACACCCACTGACCAAGTTATTTTCTCACAACATTATCCCACCTCAGCTCTTAAGTATTATYTGGGTGTGGTTTCGAACAAGAAAAAGTTAATTCCAAAAACAGGAAAAGAAAAAATAGATTCAAAATAAAAGGCATTTCCCTTCTTCCTATCCTTGATCTCATCCTCCAAAGCCCACAGAACTCTCTTGAGTTGCTAACATGACTTTCAATTTCACTTCTGAAGTGCTGACACTATTTTACACCCAAAAATGCTTTGTTTGCACCCAGCATTGTGAAGTGCCAGCTCACATCCAAGACTCCTAAGTGCAGGAAAACACAATAATTTCTTTTTCTAAAGGCAAAAYTCGCAATCTAAAGCATCATCCATTGCCACTACGGAACATGCTCTTCCACTTGTATTGTAGAACACATTCTGCCTCTTTTTCTTTCAGCTCTCAAAAAACACCACGTATTCAAGCAAGGATCATCTTGGTAATACTCTCCCCCATCGGARCAAGGGCAGAAGCAAGCAAGCATTTCTCCCGCAGATTTTTGCCTGGCTGGGATGAAGAACAGAGCTTCCCAGAGCCATGTATGTACCACGAGCATGGAACAACGAGCAAAACGAAAAAGTCATCCAAAACTTCGCAGCATTTCAACTTCTTGGAAGAGCCTACTATTTCAGAATAGTTGTGTATGTATACTAGTCATCAATGAGACAGCAAATCGAGAGGTTGGTTTCCTACATTTGCTTTTCTACGAGCAAAACACCCTCAAAGCCGCCGCTTTGCCCGGCCCAAGGCGCGCTGTGTCAAAGGCGCTCCCGCAGCGCCGCGGCCCCGGCCGGGCTGTCTGTCTGTCGGGCTGTCTGTCTGTCGGGCTGTGTGTCTGTCTATCTGTCGGGTTCAGCCGTCCCTCCGAGGTGAGGATGAAGGGGCAGCCGCCCGCACAGCCCGTTTTCCCCGCTGTCCGGCCTCACCGGGCTGAGGTGTCCCCGCTCTCCCGAGCACATGGAGGCGGGAGCCGGGCGGGCTCGGGGCTCTGAGGGACGGAGCCGCTCCCGCCCTCCSCACCCTCCCGCCGCCCCCACAGGCTTCGCCCTCGCTCCCCCGGCCCGCTGAGGGGACGCCGCTCACCCTTGGTGACCTTCTTGGCCTCCTTGTAGCGCGACCACAGGTAATTCTTCATGTCGGCCGCCGGCTGCTGCTGCTGCTGCTGCGGGGCCACGGTGCAGAGCGGAGCGGCCCCCGCGGCGGGCAGGACTCGGCCCGCCCGCCCCGCCGCCAGCAGCGAGCGCGCCGCCAGCGCTGCCATGCTCCGCTCCGCGCCCAGCCCGGCCCGGCCCCGCCGATCCGAGCACAGCCCCGCCGATCCGAGCACAGCCGCTCCGCCACCGCCGCCGCCTGAAGTCACTTCCTCGGGCCCCGCCCCGGGCAGGGAGGCGGGCCCGGCCCCGCGGCCGCAGGTACCGGCGGGAGGCAGGGCTTGGCCGCCGCGGAGCCTCGGCCCCGGCTCGCCTCAGC